GAACAGATGTATTAAAAATGCCAAGTCTTTCTAAAATCTTTGGGACTAATAATATGTATCTTGGACATCAACCAAAGACAATGGGGGTTATAGTTGGCACTTTAACTCCAAAACCCACCTGATTTTAAAATATATATTATATGTTTGTAAAGAAAAATGTTTGTTTACAAATCTTTATGAGTTTATGTGTGTGCAAAAAATATAATCTATTGCATATTAACAGTAAAAGAAACAAAAACAAAGGCAAATTAGAGCATAATACACACAAAGAAATATCAGGTGCTTTGTTAGGAAGTGAACCACTGTAAAATACCTTTTTTATTGTGAGGAGAAATGTACAAAGCTTTTATTTAATGACTTGTGTCTACACATCAGATATCATGACACGCCTACTATCTAAACATGTGCATGTGTTTTAACTACCCTCTCACCGTGGAAGTTTCTTTTGTTGTGTTACAGGATTTTGATGGATTTGACACACGCTGACAGGACTGATCAGCTCCCTTCACTGCCCACGAATTTGCAAAGTCATAAGTGTCCTCTGTTAGGAATCCTGAAAAATACACAGGCACGCACAGACAGAGAGACAAACAAGTTGACAGATTTGTTCTTAATCTCATCCTACCACAACTGTGTCTTTTGCTTTCTTTTACTTTGTTATCTTTTCCTGTACTCGGTTGTTCCTCTTCCTGTTGCTGAGTGCTGGTGACTCAAATCGTTTCCTCTATTCCAGTAATAATAAACTCTCCCTAGTTTCACTCTTCTCACAGTTGCATCTTGTGGGCTGTATAGCACGCACATACCTTCCTGAGCAGTATATTCATCAGCAGTCATAGAGTTGAAGTTGCCACAGAGGCCGCAGGTGTGGTTTGCATGGCGTTTGGTCAGGGTCAAGGCGATGTTGGCAGCATTATCAATGGTGACAGTGAAGCCAAACTCCTCACTCCAGAGCTTGTAAAAGCCGAGCTCTGAGCCCACAAACACAGAGTGAGATGCATAGGGCAGTGACAGCCTAGAAAAAAAAGACGGCATAAATCAAGCTCCTGCAGAAGCAAACTAGCGAGGAGCTTTCAATATTTATACACACAAACTTAATGCTGAATGACAGAGCTAGTGTGCTACCTTTTTTCTCCTTGTGAGAGCCGTCCGTCTACAGAAAGGTGCAACTCAAAGACATCCCCCAAAAATAGCGTGACTCCAGTTCTTTTGCCATTTTGAAAGTCGCCTGCAGATCCAAAGCACATTTTGAACACACTGTTACTACTTTGTACCACCACCATGGCAGACTTCGCCAAATAAGACAGAAAATTAAAAGTGAAGATGACTTGTAAACAGTTTCCAAAAGCCAACATATTGCATCAACGAGGCATTACACACTAAACTACACAAGATAAGCCTGGCACACTATTAAAATTCAAATCTTTTTTTGAATCTCTTTATTGAATTTGAGCGTGACTCACCCAGCAGTGTGAAGGAGTGGTGGTTGCAGTCCCCAGCCAGAAGGTAGCTGCAGTCTCCAGGAAAGTCATACAAAACACCATCGAATGTGTGAACGTGGTGCCGTCCAAACAGACTGCATCTCCCTGTCATGCTCGCTAGACAAGCTGAACACACACAAACAGAGTACACAGATATGCCGATGTGTGCTGAAGAAGAATTATAAGAGATTTCATATGAAGCACGTAACATATGTCACTTTTTGGGTGTAAAGATAGAAACGAAACTGGATATTCTCCAATATAATACTCACAGGTCAGCTGCAGGAAAACCCAAATTCCTCGCAAATATCTCTTTATGTAGTCCTGGAACACATAAACATATATGCTTTCATTTTCATCACAGCTTAAACTAATATCTTTATTGTCTGATGTACAAAGATCATGTTATTTTGTGTGCGATGTTAGGCCTGCTTCAAAACCCCTTTTTTTTACTTCTATAAACTCCAAGTACTCATACCTCCATGGTTCCAGACTCCAGAAACAGCAGACACTATCCCAAATCACGACGTTAAGACCTCACAGAGTCCGGACATTATAAAGTAATGTGATGGTCAAGCATTGGCTAAACTAAGAAGAATTTCAGCCCCACTGGAAGCTCAGTTTTATAGCAAAGACTGAACCCAACCCAACTTTCATAGGCTTTCTCTTAAGTCCACTCCCCTTGCCAGGTTCAGACAAGAGGGAAAGAATGCCTTTCTGTCCACAACTTGGAGCCTGCAGACTGACACCATCAAACACACTCAACGGGACAATGCCAGGATATGCCCACTGATCGCCTGGCTGAGTGATTAGTCTACACATACGTATCTGTATCGGTGCCAAGCCAAACAATCCTTTTGGTAAAAAAAACACTTACTAAAGCGATCTCACGCAATTACACTGCTTCGATAGTGTCACATGCACAAACACACTTGTCTTAACGGCGCCAAAATTACACACACATATACACACACGCACACATAATGGGAACATGTGATGATCAGCACTCTCAGGTGGAAACTTATGTTGTCTCTGGACAAAGCTGAGGAAAAAGAAGAAGAATATGTTTGGTGTTTTCAGATTCACAACCTGTATCACAATGTCACAAAAATAAGTATTTATATAAGTATGAAGCAAGCATAAAGTAATTATAAATAAGTAAATAAGAATTCTGCAGACTGAGGCTGTTTCTTTTGCTTTCACTCTCTTTATGTAACTCTAGGCTACTAAATACGTAATGATCAGGGTCTGTGGAGACTACCTGATCTACCTATCTGGTGTAAACAGACAAAGCACCCAAAATGTTCGCACAGTATGTATGATCTATCTAGTGTTGAGCTAGAAATCACCTGTGGAGCTGTGTGCTTCAAACACACCGCAAACCCACGCAGACGTTCATAATCTGCCTGATAGAAGGCGTCTCTGCTTGAAACAAGGGTATTACTGGCATCACTGAAATTATGTGTGTACCCAAAAATGTCCTGTAGTGCGACAGTGAGATGCCAAGAGATGTTTTTCAAAACAGACAAATGAACATGCTGAATTTGGAGAAAAACAAAATTCTAACATTATTACTTGCAAATGTGCCTACATGTCTTCTGTATAGCAGCTCTGATAGCTCTGATATAATAACTTAACTGAAAGGGCATGCAGAGCTTTAGGTAATCATTTATATGCATGGTGAGGCAGTTTTGGTCAAGTTGGTTATCCTGCAGAACCCCCCAACTACACAAACAAATATAGCAAATATAATCAAATTAAAACTAATATATGCAAATGTATATGTATTTTTTCTAATTCAATAATTTTCTGGAAATAATGTCATAGCTCAGGCTTTAAAGTGGGTTTTCTACTTATTAATAAACCGCCATTGAAATAATTCAGTCCTACTACGGATATGAAAACTGACACTTTATTATTAAAAGCTAAATGTAGACAAATGGCATCATACTTTTCAGGCTTTTTTCGAGCATAGCGATGTTGACGCTTTCACAGCTATTCTGTTAAATTAAATTAATAAAGTTATAAAAACATTAGGTAAAAAAAAATGTATACATCATCTATAAATGGTAGCTAATTCATTGCCCACTTAAAAATGGCCGTAAAACGTATATCTAAGCGTGATATACCCTGAAGCAGGACTGTTCAGACACAAGACTAATGCACAGCCTTCATGCCTCACAGATGCTAATGCATTCAATTGCAAAGCTACTTGTTTCATATCGCGTTTAGAAGTGAGAGCGTGTAACCTATAGTCTGTCTGTGAGCTATATATTGCTGGCGAGCACACAGCCTGCTCGTGCACCGTGTTCATTCATGTACAGTATATTTAATCCGTGAACGCGCTTTCCTTATTCCTGGAGAATTACGTCATCGCAATGCCCAGAGTCCTGCAGGAACTTGCATTCAAATGCCCACAGCAGGGTGCTGTTAAGTGTACTGTTCCCACTATTGTATATAGGAAAGGCACACATCGAGACTATACTGAAAAGCAAGTGCAGGCTGCAATCTGAATAAATCGAAAATCGTGTGGAGATGTCAACACTCCTACATCACCGGAAATCCCACAAAATCCCCGAAAATAACTAATAGAACCATATCCACTTGTTTTTGGTCAAATAATTAAATAAAGAAGAAATTGTAAACAAAAGTTTTCAGGAATAAAGACAGAAAGAAGAAGAGCCATAGGAGGCTGTGCAGCCATGAGGGGGCGGACCACTACAGGCGCGCTCCGCACGACGCGCGTCAACGCCGGCGCCTCGGCAAATAACCTCATTCTGCATACAGACTGTTATATAGTGGCTCTTCTCCTCTTGAATTTGAGATAGCGGTATAAGTGTGAGTCACAGTTCAAGGACCACCATGGCTGCACTGTCGGGGGGTGAGACGTGCATCAAATACCTGATGTTTGCCTTTAACCTGGTGTTCTGGGTGAGTCCGAAGCAAGAAAATATTTTATTCTCGTGTGCATCCTGCCTGTTTTTCTACGTGTGCGTGTGCGTGTAGGTGTGCGAACGTGTGTGAGGTTTGCGTAGGAACATGCGCATTCGTGTGAGCGCAGGTTACTATAGTGAATAAAATTACACGGTATAGACGTCCCAGATGCAGAATAGTGCCGAGTGCTCACGGTGTGTGTCTGTTACTTATCCCCGGATTGTCTGAGCAGCCGCATGAATGAATTATGGCTCTGGCTGCCACTAAATACAAAGTGTCCCAATGTTTGTGGAGACCGTGCGGGCTGGAGAATAATCCCCAGTGGCCAAGTGACCCAGTTCCACCGCGCAGACTAGCCACACTCTGGAGTTTGCGCGCATGGCATTTTAATACTTGCAATGAGGGGGAGGGGGCTTATTGTGGCCGAGATATAGCCCCAAAATTAAGTAATTAACACTTCCGCCCCTAAAAGAGTTGTTAATGGAAGTCTGTCTACTTGGCGGTGTGCGCGCGCACATGCTTGTGCGTGAATGCTAGATATCCCATGTAGGTTATGTGTGTCCCGCTGTCCTGCGCACCCGCAGGGTGTGTCTTGCTGTGCGTGTTTGAGTGGGATGTGTGCTTGTGGTTTCAAATGGTTGTGTTGCCTTTTATGCACGTTTGTAATCTGCGACGCTATACATAGAGCTAAGTGTAGCATTAATTACAGGGCAGACAGATTTCCCACAGCATGTGAACGCTACGTGTGAGAGAGAAATAAAAAAAATAAGTTTTGAGTGTTAATAAGATTGATGAAAATAGGTCATTAGAATCACTTTTTAAAAGTCACAAATGTTTCGAAATGGAGAAGCTTTGGGAATACAATACATTATAAATTACAGTATAACTCTTAATCAGCAGAATTTGTCAACACACAGGGACGCTTCCTTATAACTAGCATCCTCATTTAAACAAAGACACTTCCCTTCTGAGATAGAAACTAACCAGGATCAAAGCTCAGTGCAGCTTTTGTGTCAGTGCACACAGAGCAGAGTTCGCAAATTTTGCTTGGACTGGATCAAAACCCACTTCTGGGTGCAGCAGAAGCTGTAGGTGTAATGGGAAGCAAAAGTCGACCCATTCACTGTAGGTACGAGTTCAGATACCAGAGGATTAAATGTGTCGTCAAGCAGGTATTTTAGGAAACGTTTACATGCCTGGACACAACCCCTCTATCTACCAGATCATAACACCCTCTAACTATACATGGAATAACAGGTTGAAAGAGAAGAGTTACTTTGGCCACTCCCTACCTCCATAATCAGGTGACTCTGAAAGGCACGGTATTGAGAATACTCTCTCTTACCACTACCTTTGCGTTGGCTTCTTCCTGGAAAAAAAGGCACTACTTTGTCACAGTGGTGAACTGTTTAATGTGACTCAACATGGCTCTCGGTGGGGGAATCAAATGTGTGAAATATCTCATGTTCATCTTCAACCTTTTCTTCTGGGTAGGTGTATTTTGCTTTTTAATTAATTAATCATTATTTAAAAACAATTTTGATCTGGTGGTTTGTGTGATAAAGAAAAGGGGAAATGTTTCAACTTGTGTTACAGTTCTGTAACAAATTTCTACTAGCTAACATATTTTAAAGGATACAGGAAAACTGCAGCAATATGGCATAAAGTATTCAAAACAAGAAGCATTTGTCAAAACGTGAGAAGAAAAGGCAAAGTGACACTCCCACGCTTTCAAAAAAAACTGCGTGCCACCTTTCTTCTCAAAGTTAAACATTTACAAAACCTATCTTTGCCGAGGCTTGTAAGTGGCCTTGTACACACGTTTTTTAAAGTCCTAAACTCTAAGTTTTAGAATACTTTCTCCGCATATTTCAAATAACTTGCTACTATGTGTTCATGTTAAGTGAAAATGTTAAAAGGAATGTGTGCAAGCTGTGGCCATGCAGGCTCCCTTCTCTGTTATCTGTCTCAGAGCTTAAGAATCAAAAGTGTAATGTTCAGTTTCAGTTTACTTTGGGCTATTTGTTTTATTTTGTTTTTTAGAAACATGAAGCTTTGTAGGCATTGAATTGTAATATTTGTAGGTGTTTTTTGATTGATTTGTAGACAAATAGAAGTAATTACTGTGAAAGGGGAGTTTCCGCAACGAGGCACTGTTTATTAAATTATATTTGAAGATTTCTGTTTGAGTACTGCGAAACTGTAAGGATGAAACCAGGAGAAACAGCTGGTCAGTGCAGTGTTTAAAACTCAGAGGCATAATTGTTAACCGATGCTTGCTGATTAGGTTGGCAAGCGGGGGATGATGCATGCCTGGACATGAAGAGAACTGAGTATGAAGAGTTTTCTTCTTGACTCAACTTTTAATGAGCAAACAGTATGCAAATTGCATGGTCCAAATTGCAATATATCTTGTATGTGACAACATATATTTTTGTGTGTTGCAGCTCGCCGGCACTGCTGTATTAGCTATAGGACTGTGGCTAAGATTAGACCAGAAGACCAAAAGCTTATTTGAAGAACCAGATTCTTCATATGTGTTTTACACAGGTAAGATGCAGGGATGTTTATTATATCATAGCTATTTATATAAAAGCTATTTATTCTTCTCTGTATATCACATGTGTTGTGTGTGTGTAGGTGTATATATTCTGATAGCAGCTGGAGCACTGATCATGGTGGTGGGCTTTCTGGGATGTTGTGGTGCCATCCGGGAGTCCCCCTGTATGCTGGGAACGGTTTGTACCACTTAATAATCTTCATAACTATCATATTCTATTAACTAATTTTGATCTAACTAACGTAAAAATTTTAACTGTCTTAGTGATTTCACTTAGCTGCACTTGGACTTTTTATCTCACTGTCACAAGTGTGCTTTACGGACGAACCTTGGGCTCACTCAAAAGATATGAGATGTCTGCCTTCATCTTTGTTTACTGAACTGTGTGAAGGCCACGGAAGAGTCTCTTAGATTTCTCTGCACTAGCTTCCACCATCCCGGTCTTCTCGTATTAAACCTCTCAAGAGGAGGAGTAAATGAAAACTGGGTTTGGCTACCCTCAACTGACCTTATGTGTTCATACATGAGCGCAGAAGACATGCGCGCAAGCATGCCTGGAAGCAAACAGTCAGCTGAGTTTAATTTAGTCTTTTTCTTTCTGCAGTTCTTCTTCTTCCTGCTAATCATATTTGCCATTGAGGTAGCTGCTGGAATCTGGGGATTTTCTAACCAAAGCCAGGTAACATTTTAACAAATTATAATGCTAACTATCAGGTTGAAAACACTTTACACAGACCTAGTACACTACAGGAATCCATGTGAGAAAACACTGCCAGATCAGAAAAGACAAACCAAATCCAAAAAAGCGAGTCGAGTGAAGGGGTTTGGAGATTTATGTGTCTCTGTGACATATATTATATCATCGTTTCTCCGTTTACTGCTGTTTTGCAGGTGGTGAATGATATCACAGGATTTTACACACAGACGTACAACAACTACAAGTCAAATGGAGACGAGCACCTCAAAGAGACACTGCGGGTGATTCAAGCTGAGGTGAGTCTCTTTCTAATTCAGGCCGACTCTGATCTTATCCAAAAGAAATTTGTCACCTACGGTAGAGTCAGATAAATGTTGTTTATTATTTCTAGGTGAAACTGGTTTTCTAGGACAGATTTTTTTTGTATTACCGTTCTTCATGAGAATTACTAAGATCAAAACCACAGCTGCTATGTGTGAAGCTAAAACTGTGAGATGATTACACACAACAAACTATACAGGTAGTACAAGGAAAACTTGTATCTAGTGATAACAACACATCTACCACCTTTTCTAAGTCTCACATCTTAACATGCTGTATCTCAGGCTTAATGTCTGCATTAACATGTGTCGCAAACGCTATTAAGAGAGGTGCAGGCTTTATTTGGATGATCTGTATAAAAAGGATGGACATGGTCTCCAAAATGAAGCCTTAAACCTCCATTCTATCTAATGACCAACGATGAGTGATTCCTCAGATAGTCCATAAGTGTATATGAGAAGGGTTAATTGTTAATGTTAATTAACAATTTAAATATATATGTATATATATAACCTTTTACAATAACATAAATGATAGCCCAGGGTGTACTTCAGTGTGGAATACTTTTTAATTGACATTTCACTGTAGTACATGTGTACAGTATCAAAAACCAAAATGAGTCTACAAACCATTAGGTGATGCCACAGTGACTATGTTTAACCTCCTAGGACCACATTTTGGGTTGTGTAGACCAAAATACTCAATTTTGCTCTACATAGGGCCTGATATCCATTTACAATGAAATTATACTGCCACTGTTCTATCAAAATTTAAAATGAATATCCTCTTATGTTGACCTCATTTTTCTCAGAAACAAAAATCAGGTGAAAAAAACGGTGATTCTTTGTTTTTACATTCATCAGGTCCCAATCAGCCCAAATAGCAAAGTTAAATTAAAAATGTCAAAGGAGCTTGCAAAGAAAGCCGTCTAGAGACGCCTTTCTTTGCAAGCTCCTTTGACTACGATGACCTGGATGACTGAGAACCTTCACAGACTTAAATGAAAAATGCATGCCATGGAAAACCACATTTGGGTCTCTGTTTTCATCTGCATTCATGGTCATCATGTTCATTTACAACATATATTCATATATGTTTACAGCTGAACTGTTGTGGTCCAAATGGGAGGTTAGAGGAAACAAACCCAGAAACTTGTCCAAAGGGGGAGCTGCTGGAGGAGCTCATTACTAAGGTACGACTATCCTGTG